TGGGCATCCTGGCTTCAGCATCCTTTGTCGGGGTATTCCTTGCACTTCTTCTTGAAGGCCTTTGAGATGGGGAAGTTGCAAGGGAATTACCTCGTCGAGCTGGACAAGAAACCGAAGGTTTACTCCAACGGTTACACTTCACCATGGATGAACATGAAGCGTCACCCAGGAGGCCTTGCTGAGATGTTGGAGGACGTCACTATTGCGGCGCAGAACGAGTTCCGACCTACTGTCGGGAACATTGGTTTCAATCTCCCTCGTGATGATGATCCTCGCTCAAGAATGCCCAAGACGGAGGATCCTGACTACTCTCGCAAGCTCGAGGCACACAATGCTTTCCTCAAGGAAAGGGATGTGTACTCCGAGATCTCCTTCGTGCGAGAGGACTTTCAGATGCTCGTCCGCGTCATCAATGAGGCCTATGGTGTGGACTTTTTCTCCTACATCCAGCGCCATGCACATGATGTGCAAGTTCGCCGAAAGACTTGGTGCGGACTCCGGAGGGTTACGGTCTTTATGACTCTACCCTCAAGCAACGTTTCAATGGTCGCTATGTGCTGGCGGTCCTGGATAAGGTTTTCTCTGAATCTGACAACAAGAACTTTAAGTCAGCCTTCGCCCGGGGAAGGCGAGAGCAGAGTTGTTGGCTTACGAGAACCTGAAGGAGAAGAAGGAGGCAGAGTTGAATGAACTCTACACTCGACCCTATGAAGACATTATGGTCGAGGAGTTCATCGAACGGCTTCCTGGTCCACAGGTCGAAGAGATTGAGGAGCCTGCCGCGGCTACTCAGATGGACACCTCCGAGCCGGCTTCCGGATCCACTGACTTGCCACAGGGCAAGAAAGACGATCCAGTGAAGACCGAGCCGACCGATGTGCCAATGGAGACTGATGCTCCAGAAAGCTCTCCTCAGGGAGAGCCATCTGGGGCTAATATCGAGCCAATGGAGACTGATGCTCCAGAAAGCTCTCCTCGGGGAGAGGTATCTGGGGTGGATGTCGATCCGCAGGAAACCGAAGCTCCGGAAGGCTCTCCTTAGGGAGAGGGATCTGGGGTCAAGGTTGAACCTGATGAGCACATGGGTCAAGAAGGAGGGAAGTCCGAGGACAGTGAGATGGCTGAGGAAAGCTCACCACAGGGTGAGGAATCCACGCCTGACATTTCTCCCGAGAAGGATGACGAAAGTGAACTTCACGACCAAGGCATCTGGGGGAAATGCAAGACTGTTCCGGATCCTGAGTACTATAAGGCCGCGAAGGATGCAGAGGAGAAGAACGAGAACGCATTCGAAGAGATGGGCAAGGCCAAGGAGAAGATCGAGCTCGCCGACACCGACGAGTACAAACATTTTCTCGCAGAGCTCGTCGACATCGAACGGGAAAGCTCTATGCGGCTGCTGTCAAAGAAGTTGCGTGGACATGGCTATTCCGGCTTGTATCATACAGGCCTGCGTGATCCTACGTGGGAGCCCGTTCTCGCTTTCAAGGTGCAGCATATGAGCTGGAGGGTCAATGTCCCACCTCACAAGGGACAGAAATACTCTCTCAGCGCAGGAGACCTCTTCGCCCAACTCAACAAGATGTCTCCTATCTATGAGCGGCGTCCCGACAGGAACGACGTTGTCTTTCGTTCTGGAGACGTCCGCAGCACCTTGGATGACAAGCTAATGGAGAAGGCCTCTGACATCCGAGAAGCAGCTCTGGAGGTTTTGGAAGCACTTCTTGATAAAGTGAAGTCCCTTGACGCAAGTGGCAATCCGGCAACTCGAGAAGAACTTTTGAACGCTATGCTTCATTACTTCTTGAGCACCGGGGTGGATGAGGAGGAGATCGGGGACCTCTCTCTTGAGAGGATGCCGAATCCTTACATTTATCGTTTTGGTCTAGCGGAGGACGCCAAGGTCCCCATCTTCACAAGCAAGACCAAGGTCGCCGCGCTCATTGTCAATCTCGGCAATATGAGCAGGGGAAGGAAGCACACCGCTCCTACCTCTGTTGCCAGTCACATTGACTGGGACGACTCTTCGCCATCCAGAGGAGCGCTCAGAGCAAATCACACCTCTTCATGTTGTGTGAAGCGGCTGAGATCAACGACTCCGAGAAGGCCTTCCTCACAGCTCGTGGGTGGCAATTCCTGCATAACGAGCCCAAGGACTTAATGGTCGGGAGTCGTACCAACAATGTCGGGTCCTCGATCACCCGTTTGGCAGGCTCAACTCTCACTGGGCTTGCTCACACTTCTCTCCCGATCACTTACATGATTGTGGAGATCGTGTACGGGATGACAGTACCGACAGGGGCGCAGGGAAATCGTGGCGATTTCCCAGATGATGCACTGACCAGGGTCTTGGAGCGTGCCGGCTCCGACCGCATAAGGGTCTGCTGCTTCCACCTCCGTAACGACGCGGCAGCCGACAAGGTGGCGTTGGCTCACGAGGCGCTGGGCAACATGTTCGTTGACTGCCTGCACTACCAAGTCGACCTCATCGGTGGCGACGCCAACATGGCCCTGTATCGGGCCACGGGCAGAAAGCAGGAGTCAATAGATATTCGTGGCGGAATGTACCAAAGCCTTCTCGACTTCTTCTTGGAGGCCTGGTCGGAGAGCCCGAAGTGCCCACACCTCTGCTCGCCTCGCGCGAGGCATGTGTCAGCAAACGCCATGTGGCTTCTGAAGCAGTACGAGGACACGCTGGGTGTGCCGTACCGGAACATCAAACATCCTGACTGGAATACTTTTCCTGGCTTGGATCCAGTTCTGGGTACAGTCATGGAGTGGGGACACAGCATGTCGGACGATCAATGGGCTGATCTTCCAGCTTCAAAGAACGAGTACGACATCCATGTCTCCGAATGGCTGTTGAACTCCACCAGCGCCGCGTACCTTCTCAGCGACCGGGATTATGACGCTCACACTCCGCTCCTCATCGAGGTTCACGCGAACCAATACACTGGAGGCAGGATGAGGGCTGTCAATCGCAATCCCGATACCGTGAAGGACGGCGCGGACAGGAGGAGAGAGAGGCAGAAGTTGAACAAGGCGCGTGGTTCTGGTTCTTCTGGTCCCGCAGCAGCCGCACCTCAGGGAGCAAGCTCTTCTCAGGAAGAGGCAGCTTATGGTGCTAAAGCTTCTGGTTCTCAACGTCCTCCAGAACCCGCGCAACCTCCCGGTGGCAAGGAAGGCGGCAAAGGAGGCAAGTCCTCCAAAGGAAAAGGCAAAGACTCCGACAAGGGCAAGTCCAAGGGGAAGTCCAAGGACAAGACCAAGGACAAGTCCAAAGGCAAGGAGAAGGGCAAAAACTGACTAGGTTCGGACCAGGGCGAGGACGAAGACGTTGACGTTGCTGACGAAGACATTGGTCCTGGCCCAGCATCCTTTGGTGACAGGCCGTGGTTTCCATCTCAACTGCAACTCCATTACTGGCGTTTGGAGAGATGGTACTACCCGCACTACCGTCTGCCTCATCCTGACGACAGTCCTTATACTCGTCGTCTGATGGAGCAGTACAACCGGAGGGTGTATCAACAAGGTCCGGTAGAAGATGTGGAATGAGTGTTTCACGGAAGGCTTCTTTCATAAGAAGGTATCCAGTTTGAGCATTCACCATTTCATAGGAAGATGCTTTTCTCAGGAAAAGGAACTTCCTCCAGACCTTGCCCAGCAAGAAGATACTTATCTCAGGATAAGATACTTCCAATGCCCTTATACAATTTGCCTTGCCGCAAGATGTCATGCTGGCATCAAGTAGAGCTAAGCTCTACACCTTTATGTTACAGTATGCTTTCCACCTGGAGAGGGAACTGAACACAAGTGGGCAACTTTCAAGCAAAAGTTTTCAGTGAAGATCCGTTTGCGTTTAGTGCGTGTGCTGCTCTTTTCATTGCAGCTGTCTCCAGGCTAGAGAATGTATAGTTTCTCTTCACGTCGCAGATGTAGCTCAATACTCCGCTAATTCGACCGAGAGCAATAACAGGCTGGTTGAATGCCGACTCCACGGCCATGCAGCTCTACGTGTTTTGAATTTGTGCCTGGTTGAAACACTGAATGTTACACATCCAGGTGCTTATCTGTTTCACGTATCACTTGCATGTATCCATGCCTGTTGCTCAAGGTTCTAGTGCAGTGGACTACAGCTGTGCGCCTGTAGTAAAAAGAGACACCTGAGTGCCTGTGTTCCTGTACGCCTTAGCGGCCTTAGCGCGGATACACGTCCAGGTTACATCTCAAGGGGAGGGGAGGGAGGGGAGGGAGGGGAGGGAGGGGAGGGGAGGGGGCAGGGGAGGGGAGGGCACGGGAGGGGAGGGGAGGGGAGGGGCCGCGAATAGGAACCTCTGACCGCTCGGCCGGGGCCGAGGCGAATTATTGCCGATAGTTCCATTCATTCTTTCCCAGACTGCAGAATGGCTTCTCAAGAGTGTGACGTCTTTTGGAGAGACCCTGTTCTGACTGGCGAGCCGGGAGAGTCGTAGAGTCTTGGACTTGGTCGTACAAGGAACGACCCCTTACAAATTGATGTGTCTCCAGGGCGGGTGCTGCTTCATTTTGAGATAGGAAAGTTGAGCAGGGAGATACGAAACATCTGCCCTAAAGGAGGGGGTCGGAAGCTGCAGAACCGTCTCGGCAAACCGACGAAGTAGATGAAGTAGTGAATTGCGTTGTGGTTGCGTGCCCCCGGAAGACTTGAACTTAAACTCGCAAGGTAGACGGGAAAGGGGCCTGCTTTCGCCCATGTTGATGTGGACGGGAGAAATGGTGGATGGTCTTGGTTGCCATGCTCACTGGCCAGGTTCTGGTTGTAGGCAGACAAGCTGGAAGGTTCATTATTCGTTTCAGCGATTCGCTCTCGAGATTTTAACAGGAAGAATAGGCTTCAAAAAAATCAACTTTTTTTTGGCCCACCTGCACCGGTCCGTGATCTCGGACCCAAAGCTCGACCAATTGGATATGCCCTCGGAAGCCCGCGGTGCGCTGGGGTCCAGCCTGTGCGACATGTACAGGCTGCCTGCGACCTCGAGGTGTACACGAAAGAGGGCGACACGCCCCTGAGTCTGGCCGTGCAGGGAGGTCAGACTGCAGTCGCACATTTCTTGCTGAGTGCCCGGGTGGACCCCAATGCCGCCGTGGGCGAGATGCGCGACATGCGCGTCCTGGACCTGGCGGAGTGCAACTTCCAGGAGTACTTCAAGGAGGCGGGATTTCGGGATGGGCGCAAATTGCAGATTTGTACATCCCTCCTGGTTCATGCGCACTTGTCTGGCAGATGATGATGACACAAAATCTTCTATGACGGTATACCGCAATATCCGCCGCTATGACCATGAACCCCCCGACTCTTTCTGAAGCGCGAATGCCATTTCCATGGCCCTTCAGGAATCGAACCAGGAGCTCTAGACTCAGGTAGACAACTCCTCCTCTCCGGTGTACAGGGACACCAATGGCTTGGGGGGCGAGGAATTGCAAGGAACAGTGTGATGCGACGACGGCTGTGAAATCTGCCTGTTTCGATGCACCTGTAACAGTTACTGCGGTAAACCATCTTGATAAATCAGGTATACAGATCATGCGCTTGTATAGCGTAGGGTGATTGCACATGCGTGTTGGGGCCTTGAGTTTAATCTTTCGATCTGACGGGGTCCTGACCTCGAAGGTGCAACCACTGCACTTTGTCGCTGCTGAGTCCGACTCCAGTCATTTGTTTCCAATTTGTAGCGGAACTTTCGGTGGTTTCTGTGCTTCACATAGACTTCTACCGCTGCTTCTTGTCTGTCTTCTTTCTGTATTCGTAAACCACTCAAGACCCAAACCAGAATCTGGTTCTGCTTCCGCCCCAAACCCTCGGCGCGGCCGAGTCCATCCTGCCCCCGCCCCTGCTTCCCAGGCCGTCCTACCGTCCTCAACTTCCGAAAGTCCGGTGCTATCTATGCCAACCCCCCCCCCCCCCCATCCCCTTCTTCACCGATGTTTTCTGAACTGTTTACTTCTCTCCGTATATATATTCAGTCTATCTATCTATACCTATCTGTCTATCTATCTAGCCCGTCAGATACTATTTATCTATCTATCCCCTGCCTCTCCGAGGCCTGGCCCTCCGTCCGCGAGCCGTTACTTGTAGAGACTGTCCATCCCAGTCCCCCCGCTTTCCTGTCTGAAGTGGTTTTACGGATTTCGGCTGGCTAGCTATGCATTTCACTCTATGTATCTACCCATGCGTCTATCTAACCTGTTTCCTTATCTACCTATCTGTCCATCTATCCTGCTCTGGGCTATTCGGTCCCGCCCGTCAGTTACTATCCTGCCCCCGCCCTACCCCGTGGTATTGTCCATCCCCGTCAGATACCTACTGGTACAGGTTTGAGCACGTCAGTCCGAGGTTTCCACCACTTGTTGCCCGTCAGATACTGTTTGTCCCCGCCACTCCTGGTTAGAGGTTTGAGGTTTCCCCGTTTCCGCCCTCAGATAGGATCTGTCTAGCTATCCTCCTTCTGCCGGCGCGGGGTCCCAGGCCCGCCCGACAGCAATTCCCGCCCGTCCAGTACTGTCGATCCCAGCCCCTCACCCCCATCCCCGATTTTTTCTGAACTGTCAGCTCTGTGCATATCTGCCTGTCTATCTGTCTGTGTGGCTTTCTATGTATCCAAGCATCCATCTATCTGTCTGTCAGTCTACTGATCCTGCTATCTATCTATCCTGCTCTGGACTGAGCGGGTCCGCCCGTCGGCTACTATCCCACCCCGGTCAGATAAAGGTGTCCTATCCGTCCCTGCCAGTTACCTACTGATTAGAGGTTAGGGTTTCCGCCGTCAGGTACAATCCATCTACCCTCCTTTTCGGGCTCCCCGGCACCTCCGCCAGTCAGCGAACTCCGCCTGTCATGTATTATCTATGCCAAGGCTCCCCCACCCCCGATTTGTTTTGAACTGTCAGCTCTGTACGCATCTAGCTAGCAGCTATCTATCTGTCTACTTGTCTAACTATCTATGTATCCACGCATCCATCTATCTGTCTATCTGTCTCCTGCTCTGAGCTAAGAGGGTGCGCTCGTCAGCTACTATCCTTCCCTCGCCCCCCGGGTCCGTCAGATACTATCTATCCCCGTCAGGCACCTTTTGGTTGCTAGAGGTATGCGCCCGTCAGACCGTCATATACCTACTGGTTAGAGGTTAAAGGGCTCCGCAGAACAGATACTACACATCTATCAATCCCCTCACAGTTTCGGGTTTTCTACGGCTAGCTAGCCGTCTATCCGGTTTTTGACTCTCTATCTATCGAACCATCCATCCGTCTATCGCTCCATCTATCCTATCTCCCAGTCTACCTATATACCCATCTACGCCACACTGGGCGAAACGGCTCAGCCACTATCCTGCCCCTGCCCCCTCTCCCGTTGCGCCCGTCAGACACTATCCGCCCTCGTCGGATACCTACTGGTTAGAGGTTGGAGGCTTCCGACCGTCAGATACTGTTTGTCCCCGTCAGATATACGTACTGGTGAGCGGCTACAGGTTTCCGCTCATCTATCTATCTAATCTGGTTCTATCTATTGAGCTATCTATCTATCTTTTTATCAATCTATCTATGTCTCTATCTATCTATCTATCTATCTATCTGTCTATCTTTCCGTCCGTCCATGCATCCATCGTGTAGGTGTCTATCTTCCGACCCACCTATCCTCCGATCTTTTATGTCCACCTACTTACTTACCTACTTACCTACTTACTGAGCTGACGCCTATCAGGGGGGGCCGGTGCCTCCGCCCAGTCTGGTACTATCTATCCCAACACCCTCCCACAACTCCCCCCAACCATGCCCAATCTTCTGTGTATCCACTCCGAAGCTGCGCTTCCGGATGCAGCCCGTCAGGTACTATCTATCTATTTATCTGTCTATATATCTATCTATCTATCTACCCATCTATCTAGCTATCCCCTCCTTTGCCCTCCACCCTCGCAAACGCCAATTTACTCCCCAGGTGCGTTTCGACTCGATGTACCCGGACATCTTCAAGGTGCATCAACTTCTTGGAAGTCTTGGTTCGTTTGATGAGATAGTTATCCCACCAAGCAGTGCTTAAAGGCTGCCGGGTTCTTCTGTTCAGAGTACTTAAAAGATCGTGGGACATAATAGCTAAGGTTACCTTATATATTGCTGTAACTGTATTTCCAATTTGTTGTAAGCCCGACTAAGGTACTTATAACCTTACGTACTAAGTCCCATGATCCTCCAAGTAGAGAAGGAGTGCCTGCAAGTGTGTCAGCCCCACGGCCGCGGCACGGTACTGGCGACTTGTTTCGAAAACCGCGCTCGCGCCTGAATTGCGCATACTTTTGGGGGTTAGGATTCGCGCTATGGGTTCTCTTGGATACCAATTGTGCTCCCGGCAGTGTCGTGGGTATTTTGGATGCATGGGGTTGTATCTTCGAGGCTAACAGAGGTGCTCGCGCAAGGTTTGTAATATCATTTTGAGACTGTAAGGTTTCGATTGCAAGGCCCTGTTTGATTGTTTGGGGTCGATCTGGCATAGTGGATATAGGGCCCAGATTCAAGGTGTTGTTTCAGTCGGGTTTCGGATTCAGGTGACTTGTCGGCACAAGGACGTTTTTGCTTGCACGCTTGACCCCAAACCGTTCGGAGAGACGTCCCGGAAAGGAATTCCAGGGTGCATCTCCAACATCATGGTGCTGTATGTTTTTTCTCTTCGGAAGCATGAAGGTGCATGAGGTGCAACCAAAGGGCATGAACGACCTTGGATCCTATTCACGAAAGCTTTCCCAAAGTGCAGGCCAATATCCGCTATGGTGCTCAAAGAGATTGGCGAAGGAGGTTTCCTGCGTGCGCTCTGGAAAATCGACGACATGCCGCTCAGCTTTGTAGCCTTTTCATGCGCATAGCACATCCGGAGCTTGCAAAAGAAATGACAGAGGTATTGAAGAAACTAGAAGGGATGACCACTGACCATGAAACGACAGAGCAACGGCAACAGCAAGTACAACAGCAACAGCATGATCTCCTCCTTTTGCTCCTCCTCATCCTCGTCCTTTCCCCACTGCTGCTGGTGCCGCTGCAACTACCGCTTCCGTTACCACCAGCGCCAGCATCAACGCCAACGCCAGCGCCAGCAGCAGCAGCAGCACCACCACCACCACCACCGCCGTCACCGCCGCCGCCGCCGCCCCCCGCCACCACCGCCACCACCACCACCACCACCATGGCACCACCACCCCCACCGCGACCGCCACCGCCACCGCCACCGCCACCACCACCACCACCCCCACCACCCCCACCACCACCGCCACCGCCACCGCCACCGCCACCGCCACCGCCACCGCCACCGCCACCGCCACCGCCAGCGCCAGCGCCAGCGCCAGCGCCAGCACCAGCACCAGCACCAGCACCAGCACCTGCATGCGAGGGTTTAGACCCTTCAAGGATTCTGCGTTGATGAGTAACTGTCGTATATATAGACAGTGCTAGTTTTGAGTAGTCATGCGTAGTTGGTGGACGT